AATTTACTAATTTAAAGTAAATAAATATCTATATTTTTCTTAATTAAATTTATTATTGTAATTTATTTTACAATTTCAAAAACTAATAATTAATATGTAACAAATAATTTGATTTGTTAATTGAAATAATGAAATAAAATATTTATATTTAGAATTGAAATTCAATTTTATCTTATCCCACATCGAATGTCAATAGAAAACTAGAAGATGATATCTCCTTTAAAAATGAACATCATGATGGTAGAAGTCACTATTGGACATGCTAGTAAAAATAGGTAGACCTCATCAAGTTAGTTCCAAAAAATTTCAACTTTGATTTTTCCCCTAATTTTTATTAATTTCGGATAGAATTATCGGATTGGATATCCGATAACATAGCAAATCAGAGATGGATTTAACAATCAAATATCCATTGAATTATCGGATAGGATCGGATCAGATGACTTTCATATCAAATCTGATATGATATAAAGAGATTCGATCTATATCCGATCCATTTACATGCCTAATTACAAGTAGTAATTAGCGATCATTATCAATTTAAGAGATAATGAACTCCAAATTCATAGATTGAGAATTATCATCACAAGTGACGAATTACATTATCAATAGGTTTTTAGACATAGCAATTAGCGAGGAAAAGAGGCGAGATTTGAACTGTGGTGGTGGTCGGTGATTTGTGGTTAATTGTTAGACGTATGGTGGTGGCAAGAGGAGAATATTGCTCCCTTTATCTTTTCTTTTAATTTTAATTTTGTAATTGATCTAAATTATCTTTCGAATGACATGTACATAAAACTCGATTTCCACTCAATAAACTGTCTCATGATTTAAAATAATATTTTATCATTGGTTTCATAAACCACACATTTCTCTGAAGAATAAAGCTGAAGTGCTAGAAAATGGTTGCCCACTTGGGTGACCGACCCTCACAAGGGTGCGGGCCCGACGTGGGACCCGCGCGAAATAAAAAATGGAAAAAAAATCCTCCCTCCCCCCAATGTGTGTGGTCTGTCGAGGAGGGTCCTTCTCCGAATTATTATAGTGTACCTCCACATATCCACTCAAAGGAAGGTTTTCTAGTAATGAATGACTAAAAACTTGGTACATCCGATTTTGTTTCTTATCTTAGTCGTTTGGGACACTTCAAGTTTGCTTCTTTGTTAGGTCTCGACTTTTCGCTATTCAATATCTTAAAATCGATAGAGAAAGAAAAAAATTGACGAAACACCCACACGTGTTAGTTAGTATGTCTTATTCTTTAGTCTTTACTAATTCAACAATTCTATTTGTCACAATCAAAATTGTTTCTTTCCAATTTTTTAAAATCTTCTTTGAGAATATTCATTACAAGGGGTACGGTAAAATATCTGGAAACGAAATGTGCCAAATGGAGAGGAGAGACGTCGTGTCGTGCGTAATAACAACTGTTTATGAGCTGTTATCATTCCATTCCATCCATAAAATAATTAAAAAATGAATTTTCCTCAATCAACGGTTTTTGCAAGAGGAGAGGGTAAATCCGTCATTTCAAGTATGTGAAAAAGACCGCGACAAGTGTAACTGTCTTTTGGTCTGCCGAGAATAAAATCACGTGAAACAAAATTGGGCTATTATCCTCTGTTTCCTAACCAATCCCCTCTACTCGCAATAATTTTCAATAACCAAATTTCACTCGATGGACACTTTGGCATGACTTTTATTTTGATTTTTGCTTCATGTATAGAAAAACTTTTGGAGGAAATTATCTCAATTTTAGTTTGAAAACTAATTTTTTAAAATAGTTTCTATTATAAAAGTATTTTTTAGAAGAAGTCACATTGAATCAACTTTCTTTAAAAACTTTTCTAATCAGTAAAAGTACTTTTATAAAATTAATCAAAAGAGTCCAAAAATACTTTTGAACCTCAAAAGTTCTTTTTGACTTTTCAAAAGACATGCCAATGAGTCTTAAGTAATACTACAATCATGCTACATGTATATTATCTTTTATATCATTATTGACATTGTATCACAACGTAACATGTTATTGAACAATTTAAATTTTTGACAATTTTTCAAACCAATCAACACTTGACAACACACACAATGTTAACAATCATGTCAAAATGAGAGTGTATAAGTGACATTTTCCATAACAATAAGCCCATGTTTGGAAGGCATTTTTTTTGAAAAAAATATTGTTTTGAATAGTGAATTTTTGGAGAATGTATGATTAAAATATAGGAAATTTTTTTATATTTATATGTAAAATATTTTATTGTGAGAATGAGTAGTTAAAAATGAGTATGTAGAAAAAAGAGTTTTAAAAGAATGAGAGATAAATATGAGCTAACTGAAGTGTGTGCATAACCTTGCAAGTGAATATAACTAAAATCGAGTTGAACCATCGACCGATTTTGACAGTGTGTAGATAGTGTGATAATACATAGCACTATAACCATTAAGGACGCCCGTCGAACTGTAAATCAAACACAGTTTTACTTAAGGGTGGCAAAAGGGGCCAAGTGGCTCGTCAAAACTCGACTCGTCAAAACTTGGCTCATGGACAGTTCGGACTCGTTTCGGGACGAGCCCGAGCCGAGCTAGGGATTCACCGGCGAGCCGAGCTCGCACCACGAGACTAAAGTTCACAATCCTACGAGCCAAGTAAAAATTGTGAAGAAAAAAGTGAAAAAAAAAAAAAAACTCGTGGGCTCGGCTCGTGTGCTCACTAGCTTGTGGGTTGAGCCTAGCCTAGCTCTTGGGTAGATTGACCAAGTCGGCTCAGCTAGGTCCATTGCTAGTTTGCCACCACTAGTTCTACTAAAAAAATAGGATTAATGTCATATCAAAAAAAAAAAAAGGATTAATGACAAGATTTTTGACACGTACACTTGACAAATTTTTATTGATAATTAAAAAAATTAAACAAAAAATGTCAAATTAGTCCTTGAAAAAAGCCCTATCATTGAGCTCGTTTCTTCGTCATTTTCCATCAAACGGAACTTTCAACCACAAATTAATAATTCTACATTATTCGTTAAAAGTAAAGACAATTTAAGATTTGTTTGATACGTCTTTTACTTCTACTTTATATATAAGAGCTT